TTGACGTTAGTAATCAGTCTGACATCAGGAGCCTCCTGGTTCTCTAACATCTGAACTGCCTTGATAAGAATTATTTAGCTACTAATTGCATGTAAAATAGAACTGGAGATTGCATTTCTGAATTCCAGTAAAAATTTTTACCAGTCATTCACAGAGATTTTTCTTTTCTTTCTAAGCATGAATCCGAGATTCTTCCATTCCCTAATATAGAGAAGAATTTTGCTCTTCCTGACGAAATGATTCAAGAAGTGAGAGAAGGTAAGATGTGACAGCAGTCTCTGATCCTTGGCTGCTGTGATCTCATCCCAGAATGTTTAACAAAACTCTCCCCAAGAAAGAGTGTAAGATGTTGATCCAAGGCCATTCTTTCAGACTGGTGTGTTCGATGCAGTGGGAAAAGGAAGTGTTAAACAGATACAAGTTTATCTCATGAATTTTTAATCAGCTGACTGAAGGAACTGTCAGGGAAAGGATCCCAGTGCTTGTGATGTTCATATCCCTGTTATCAGCCTTTGTGATGGACCATTGCAGGAAAGAGACACCTTTGGTCAGGTTCCACACAGAATTTCTCAAATTCTTAAATATGAAGTAGATGAGATGCTAATGAAGCACAAACAGGTTCTGTTTGTACTGTTTAGATTCAATTTCTGCTTGGCTGATACCGGTTTGCACAGTGAAGGCAAAATGTGGTTCCTTTAAAGGTGATTAGTAGCTTATTGTGGGTTTTTGCATCTTGCTGAGATGGTTGTAATATTATATCAGACCATAACTTTGGTAGCATAGATGATCTGCACATTTTAATGTGCTTTGTTCTGTAGCAAGATCGTACTTTAAAGAGTAGGGGCTACAGAGCTGATAAAAATAACATTTTCTGCACTTAATTTATATATAATAATATTTCTGTGATAAAATTGTCTGTACCAGTGATAAAATAAGGCAGTTAAATAGCAATTTACCTAATATTTTAAAATGTACAGGGGTATACTTACTGAAAAGCTGCAGTTTCAGTAGCAGAAGTAGCAGCCAGAGCTTTTGGCCATGGGCTGTACCTTGTGCTGAAATCATCTCTTTGTGTTTTTACCTTGGTATGTAACTGTGTGGGCTTATCATGAGTGAGAGAGATTTGAAAAACCTCTCTGTGTTATTTAATCTAATAGAAATATGCAGGAGTTTGACAGAAATCCCAGGTTGGGCAGTGAAAGCTGGATTTTGAAAGTTTAGCTCTATGTGTGTTAGTTGGTGCTGTTATCCAAGGTAGGAGTTAGGAAGTTCAAGCACCTGCCAGAGGAAATTTTGCAAATTACTGCTGAATGTTGCACTGAATATGGGGTTCTTAAACCCATCTAACCATTGCTAACAATCCTTTCTGCAGGAAAAGTAATGATGGAAGAAGAAGTGAAAGAGGAAATTTTAAAAGAAGAGCTGGAAACGCATGCAGGTCCAGAAGAAGGTAATTTTGTAACTCTCTACTGTGTAATACGAGATTAAAAACCAACTGTAACGCTGAGAAATTAATGTTAAAATGTAAATCCCAAATGCACTGTACTTTGTGATTTGTACTCAGACTCAGCATGTGCTCATGCCAAGAATTAGAATAATTTAAGAATGCACAGAGTAAGCAGTTGCTTATCGAAAAGATTTCTTCTTTGCTCCTAATTCATCTGTGCAGGTTGTATAGCTTTGGAGATTTTTGGATTTAATATGTACTTGACAAACCCCTGGGAGTCTGAAGGAATCTGAGGATCTCTGAGAGAAAGTTGGGTCCAATTTCATTGAACCTAAATACTCTGTGAAAGGAGCTTTGTAGTCATGGGGAAAATGGGGTGTATAAATCAAAAAAGATTGTAAAATTGTGTACTTTAATGGGAAGGCGGGCAGAGTGTTTATTTTATTTTATTCTTATTATTTTGCTTCTTTTAAATAAAAGGCTTGTTTTCTTAATACTTTGCTGTAGAACAAGTCAGATGTGAACAGTAGAGATCCTGCTATTTACATTAACAGACCAAACCAACTGCTAACTATATAATTTGATATTTATATCACTGAATAAGTGGTGTTTAAAGATTGTAATAAAAGATCTAAAGATGTATTTATAAATATATTAAATTTCACATTTTGGGTGTTCAGTTTTAATATCTACCTATGATACCAAATGTAATGACCGTTGCTGATTATAAAGATTGGTCCTATTATTATACAGATTGGTCCTTTGTTCTGTAAGTGTTCCTATTAAGTATTTTAATATTAAGTGCTGTTTAATTCCACTTAATGAATTCGATTTTTAGCCTGTGAAAATACATGCCTGTCTTTAAAGCAAATAATAAAAGCAAGATGTGCCTTTCTCAGAGAAGATTTTTCCTTTAGAAGTGAAATACTTAATGGATAAATTTGCTGAGAGTTGATTGTTTTGAGAAGTTTTATGTAATATAAAGAAATTTGATATCACTCTTGTTTGCCTATGTGTGTGACTCTGATCTGGAATCATTACTTTGATCCTATTTCAGTTTTTGCACCCTCTGGAAGTTTAGGAAAAGCCACTGAAAAGCCAAGCAGCAAAGAGAAAGAGAAAACTTCATCAGATTCTGGATCCAAAGAAGGATCTGATAAGAGGAAGCGCAACAGAGTCACTGAGAAGGTGTTAAATGCAAACAGTAACCCTTCCAGTCCCAGCGCCGCCAAACGCCGCAGGACGTAGAGCTGTGAGAGAGGAGTGACAAACTGCGGGATGGGAGGGGGGGAACAGCAAAAACAAGTCGCAGGATAGTTGCCACATAAACTCTTTGAGGAAGGAAAAGATACCTGAGGCAGGTGTTGGAAGGATCCGCACGTCGGCTTTAGACGCGCAAGACCCTTGGCTGGTGCGTTCCCCGGCTGCCTCCTCGGGGCCTGGGGAGAAGGCTGGGAGTGTGGAGAGTGGATGTAACAGTGCCAGTGGCTGCATTCCCAACCAGCAACACGCTCTGTTGTCAGCACAGCTCATGAAACCCCCGTGGCCCAGTGGAACATGGGGCCTTGGATCAGCAAAAGCAGAGGCGGTTCCTGTAAATCTGGGATTGTGTTTGCTGCCTTTGTTGCCGTCTGTGAACATCACAGACCATCTGTGGGTAATGTTTTGGCCATTTCACTTGCTGCAAACATAGCACTTGTATCGAATGTCTCAATTTGTTGGTTGAGTACAACTAAAATTCTTTTAAATGCAGATAACTACTGAATTGAAGTGTTCCAACACTCTGTTTGCTGGAGGAACCTCGTTTCACCCTTAGAGATGTAACATTTTTCAATCTTTCTAAGTTTATATGCCATAAGTGAAGTGAAAATTGTAATGCCCCTAGGCAGAATACTTAATAAGTGTCCTAAATAAAATATCTGGAGATGTCACACTGTTTTGTAAGGGATCAGTTGAGCTGTGCATGAAACTGGAGGTGTTGCTTCATCCATTTGTAATACAGTAGTATAAAACAGTGGGGTTTGTACTTAATTATTTATTTTTTTAAAGCAGTTTTAGTAAATGTGAATGGAATTGGTTTTCCAAAATGTTCTTTTTTGTTCTACAACTGAAGAATCTTACTGACATTGTAATGCTTATCTTTTATATGCTAGGATATTGAGATTTCATGAAATTACTATTTTTGTGCTGTGAGAAGATGGACCACAGTCAACAAAAACACCTGTTACATGGTGAATGAGGCAGGTTGAAATGGTACTGAATTTGTTTCATTATATTAACTATCAGTTAATAAAAGGAAGAATTACTTCTTAATCTGTCAGTATTGCCTTCAAGGTGAGGCAGTAGAAGTCTACTACTCTTTGCTTTTATTCTAGGTACGTAGCCAAGTTCTTGTCTGCCTTATTTTCTTCTCTTGTTTTATACCAAGAATAAATTTGACTTGTTTTTATTTTACTAAATGGTAATTGTTGTGTGACTTGATTAAAATCTGGCCCAATTTATTTTGAAAGTTATTTAGGTATCTTGTGGCTTTAGTGAAATTGGTCAAAAGTGCCTACCTGGGTGCTTATAGATTTGGCTTTTTTTACTATCTTTGTCTGGTGTGAACCACTACCCTGTTATTTCTATATGATATTTGATAAAAAATCCTGGCCTGCTGAACACAATAGATAGGTTGCTGCAAGCTTCCAAACTTGAGGATTTACCAGAGATGCAATTATCATGAATTTAGTGCTTTAAGCCTTGGAGAATGTCTGGTGAGATGCCACCAACTGGAGAGCTCCTTGGAGCTTTGGTTTGTGGGAGAGATGCTGTAGGAGCCTCAGAGGTTTTCTGGGCAGGTGGAAAATGATCTTTCATAACCTTATGTGAGGAAGCTCCTGGCTTTAAAGTTGGAAAATCAATTTATTGGGTATGATCAAGTTCCTAGAGGTTGTAAGCACACGTCACTCAAAGGTGAATGAGTGCCTCTGTTAAGTTTTGCTATTCACTTAAGAAACTTGGTGATGATCTACATAGATTTTGGCCATGAAGTGCAGATTCTGTAACTCTCATTTCTCACGGCCCTGCGGGTGTAAATCCAGCTCGTCCAGGTGATGCCATTCCAAAATGTTTGCTCTACCACTGGCGCGTTTTTATAGCTCAGAGCAGAAGTGTGTCGACAACAACGTGTACCGGTGCAGCCTCTCAGTGCCAACCCCGTACCAGGGAAAGCCCACTTGGGATTTCACGCCAAGTCCCGCAACGCAGATTTTTTTAGGAATCTTTTGGACGTCAAGTCGGGCATTGGCAAAGCTAAAACTCTTTAAGTGACCCCAGCGCTGCCGCACTTCGCCTCGCTCGCGAAGCATCGAGCCCTGGCTCCTTGGGAATACTGCCCTTTCACTCCCTCTCCAGCAGTTTCCCCACCCCGCGGTGTTCCCGGATCCCGGCGGGGGAAGGACGGGAAGCTCCCGCTGCTCCCGGGAGCGGTGCGGGCGGGCGCAGGAAGGGGGCGGGGCCTGCGCGCGTTTCCGTTCCCCCCCCCCACGTGGCCGGGCTTTGTGCGGGCGGGCGGGCGGCCCCGCCGCCCCTTCCCCGTCCCTTTCGCTTTCCCTTTCCCTTCCCCGCCGCGCCTCCATGGATTCCTCGTGCTCGTACCGCTTCTGGGTGGAGGAGGGCAAGGCGGAGGACTACGACTCCACCTGGGAGGGAGAGGAGGAGGAAGAGGAAGAGGAGGGCGAGGAGGAGGAGGATGGCGGCGGAGGCGAAGCGGAGGCGGCAGCCGGGGAGGAGCCGGAGGATGCGGGGGAGCAGCCGGGGTCGGTCAAGGAGCGAGACTGCCGGGTGGGTGCGGGGGTCCCCGGGGCTCGGGATGGGCTGAGGGGTCCCCTTGCTCACCCTTTCCCCTGTTCCTTCCCGGAGCCGCCGCTCGGTGCCACGGGAGTTCCCGCATCCCTCGGGGCTGCCCCAGGTGCGCTCACCTGTGTGAGTGATGTTGTTCCTGCCCCCTCCGCTCTCAGCGCCTTTGGGCTCCCCTGGCAGGTGCCTGATTTACCAAGAGGAAGTGGAGCAGCTTGAAATACTCACCAGAAGTCAAAGGGCAGCGATGCCTGGGCACGTAATTTGCCCTTCTCTTGGTGAAGCAAATCCTCCGGGCGAGGGGACAGGGATGGCGATGGGGAGGGCAGAGGGATGCTGTGACTTCATGGCCCCTTAAGATCCATTAGACTGCCATGAGCTGGGTTTTAGTGTTTCCCCCCACCGTTCCCTATGGTCTGGGTGCGTTATCCCATAAATACAGGTTCTGTTTTCTCTGTTACCTGCCTGTTCACCACGTGGATGTGACATTATGGCATTGATGTTCTCCTTGCTTTTAAGTTTTTGGTTGGTATCTTCAGCTTTGTATGGTGGCCTTCCTTCTGCTCTTTGATGCCGTTAATGAAATGCTATCACATAAAATCTACTCAGTTTTAAAAATGAACTGTAATTTTCTTATTTTATGTGAGGTGCTGCAAAACATGAAGACTTTTGTCTGATGCCTTAAAATAGTGTTTAGTTGAAATAAAAAGAACCCTCTCTTTAGCATCAGTGTTTTTCAGTTTGACATTGTCAGTAGTTTCTTCTCCAGCATTGCTCTGGTATATGCAAAACTGTTTCGTTTTCGGTATTTCCTGTCAGTCAAAACTACAATCCTTTAACTCCTCCCCTTTTGGGGAAAAAGAAACTAATCCTTAACTTGAGTTTCACTTCAACAGCTCTTCCCTTCTCTTAGAACATAAATAGGCAGATAAAGCTTTCTAATGAATACACTTTTAAAGGAGTTTAATATTAAATTTTATTTTTTTAGTAAGCATTAAGATATTAAAATACTACTTTAAAAAAAAATTTCTGTGCACATGGAAAGGTGTTCTGGGTGGAGTAGTTGGAATACTGAATGGAGGAGGCAGGGTTTTCCTTTGAGGTGTTTTACATTGTTTGAGGGCATGCTGTCAACTTTCTTTTGTGCATGGCTGGAGTTCACAAGTTTTAATAACTCCAGAACATTCAGATTATTCTGTTTGCGTGTGTTTGTTCTTCAGGTGCTTTTTTTTTCTTAGAGCAACTCTGGATTGTGACAGCTGTAAAAGCAAGGACCGTTTTTTCACTCCAGTGGGTGGACTTTTCCAGCTTTGCCTTACGAAGGAGGAAGTTGTCCCTGAGACTTATGGCCCCTGAAATATTGTTCTGCATCTTTCAAGAGGAGCTCTTCCTTCAGTGATGAATGTGTAGTCACCAATGTCTGACAGTGCCTTGAAAAAAATTATAAGGGCAGTGAGAATGAACGCTTAAAGAAACAGTAAATCTTCTGCTATCCATTTATGCCTTTACAGCCTGTCAAAGGCATGAATCAGTTTCCAAAACTAGTTCCTGCTTCTGCTTATTTTACACTAATTCTCATTCTTCTCCCCTCAGTCTAGATGCTCTTCTTTCTGGAAGAAGCTGCTAGTGTTTCTGTTCGGTCCTGAGGTTAGAGTTTTTTATTATTATTTGCACTATACCCTTTCAAAACCAACTTAAAGTTCTCTTTTTATTTTACGCTAATTCCTATTCTTCTCCCCTCAGTCTAGATGGTATTCTTTCTGGAAGAAGCTGCTAGTGTTTTTTTTCGGTCCTGAGGTTAGAGTTTTTTTATTATTATTTGCACTATACCCTTTCAAAATCAACTTAAAATTCTCCTTTTATTTTACACTAATTCCTATTCTTCTCCCCTCAGTCTAGATGGTATTCTTTCTGGATGAAGCGTCTAGTGTTTTCATTTGGTACTGAGGTTAGAGTTTTTATTATTTGCACTCTACACTTTCAAAATCAACTTATAATTCTCCTTTTATCTTTTTGTTTCACTTGTCTCTGCAACTGCTCCATACTCAGAGTCTGAGGTTCCTGCAGGTGTCTTTCCAGCTCTTTTGCCTTGCAGTGCCTTTAGCTTCTATGAGTGAGCTTTGAAAACTTTGGGGGTTGTGTCCATTTTAGGAAGTTCTCTCTAAGGCTGCTCTAATGCCTGAAGTTCGTGTTTTAATAAAAAATCCCATAGTTCTGCTTTCTCCTAAATCTCAGTCAACAGGAGGTTTCAGTTCCTCTTCTGGGACTGTCATCTTTCTCATGGCAGTGCCTGGTTCACAATCCACATCTTCTTTCATCCCTTTTGGTTACAGCTGCTTTCCAGCTGATCTCTCAGCCAGATCCTGTTTGCATTCCCCTCTCCTGGCTGTGTTCTCTGCTTCCCTCACTCCTTGCACAGTGATGCATGTTCTGCCTCCAGGTTTGGAGGTTTCCTGGCAGTGCTGTGAGACATAAAGGGGATTGATTTATACCTGCAAGTTTCAGCCTTGCTGTTTAGTTTGTGTTTCTTACCTGGAAAGAAAGGGAAGGTTCTGTTCCTGTGGGGCTTAAATAGGAGTTATAGGGAGCCAGAAGCAACACCTACTTGGAGGGCCAAAGCTGAGTTTTGCTCTCTTTGCTTCCTCATCTTGTTCTCTTTATTGCTGGGCTCCAGAATGCCTTTTCCTGGTTCTAGCTTCGTTCTGGGCAAGCCTTACAGCCCCTTGCACCATGGCATTGCATCTATCTCTGCAGCTACACTGGCTCCTCAGCAAACCCATTATTTTCCAAAGTGGGAACCAGTCTGCTGTTGTCCTGTCCCACCTGACCGCGTTCAAGGATGTTATTTTAGAACCTTAAGTGTAAAGAGTATCTGAAAGTTGAATATTAATAATTGATTGTATTAAAACAAGGTTTTAATTAATTCCATGTAACAGGCAGCAGGGCAACTGAATGGGTGACTTCATTACAACAAGGTGTTACAAAATGTAGTCCAGTTCCAGCCTTAATTATTAATGTACCAGTGATTATTGTTCGTTAGAAAGTGGTTTCATTTTTCTCTGTGCAAGTGAGGTTACGAAATACCAAATGAGGTTATAAAATAACTAGGGAGAGTTCTTGCTGCTTCTCTCTTCTAAGTTTCTTACAGTGCTTATTTTGCAAGAGTTTGCACATCTCATCCCCATTTTCTCAGCATTCTTGTCCTTGCTGTGAGCTGGTATTGAACAGTCTGACTGTGCTGTGCTTCACTTTGGGGGCGCCTTTATTCGTGAGCAGTCTTGTTAATTTTGGTGGTTCTAAATTGACACAACACTGTTCTATGATTTCTGTCTAAATGTTGACAATTGAAATGAATCTAGCACATCTGTGTAGTGAGGAGAACCTGGCACCTGTTTGTATGGCACAACAGGTTTTTTTCTCTGTAGCAATTTCAGTTATGAATAAAATAAAGTGAATTCAGCTGTAACTAGGTAAATTTGTCACTTGGCAACTAATAGGGATCATGTGAGTCACTGCTGTGGGTAATTCTCATTTTGTATCTATTTTTTATTTTATTAGTGAGGTTTGGTTTCAAAATGTTCCAACTAAATACTTTTTATTTGTAGGAGCAGAGCTCGAATTCATCACGGCTGTATCAGGTAGGCTTGACATAAAGTTTGGTTACATAGAAAGCTGAGTAATGATTTAAATGATGGTGATTGGAACAGAAGTCCAATCAAATAAATATCTAATGTGACCACGTGGCTCTGTTACTATTTGCTGTCTAAATCAACATGATGCTTAATCAGCAAGGCTGATCTCAAGCATAAAGCAAAGATGAAGAAAACTTTTTATTTCAGTAATGTCTACAGGGAATGAGAATTTTGAATTCCAGGGATATTTCTGCATCTTAAATTCTACAACTTTGAAGTCTGGCCTCTCTCTTCACTAGGGTTGATAGCAACTCAGAGATATGTCTTGTTTTAAAACCTTTTACCTTAGGGGGAAAAATTACATATTACTATTTGGGATTTGCAGCTGGTTCTGACCGTTTCTGTAAGCAAACCCAGCTGGGATACAAGATAGGCATAAAAATGAAAACCTTCATTGATAAGACTAGAAGGGAAAAGAAATGTTTTGGTTAAAGGATAAGGCATGAACTTCTTTTAGTCTGAAGTCAGGAATGCAAAGAAATGACAACAATAATAGTCTGGCTGGTTTGGGAGGTGCTGGGAGTGCAGGGCACATGTGTGAGGAATGCTGAATTCAATCAGTGGGTGATTCTTTTTTGCAGAAAATGGCTTTATTTTGTGTCTCTGATGTGTCTCTTTTCCTCAGGTCAGCTGGAGGCGCAACTGGACTGCAGCCAAAGACCTGCAGAGATACAGACACCACTACCCAGTACGTGCTCAGGGATGGGGCACCAGCTCCTGGGGCTCATCCTCATCCCTCCCTACCTTTAGCAACACTTTCTGGATTTGGGAACACCCTTTTGCCTTTACATTCATAGAACCTTTAAAGGATTCATTTGTGAGGGGGAAGGGATGATGTGGGTGCATCAGAAACAAGCTGTTACTTCCCAAAACACATTTCAAGGATTTAGCTTGAGAATGTTTAGGAAATGTGAGGGAAAGCAAGGAGAAATGTTGAAGTGAGTATTGCCTTTTAAAAGACTGTTGCTTGTTGATTTCTTGTTCTCACCTCCAGGGTTTGAAAGAATCAGAAAATGAGGACGAAGAAGAGATGTGGAACTTCAGCTTTTATAAAAATGAGGTTTCTTTTAAGCCCCAGGGTGAGTACGTTGTGTGGTGGCTGTTTGATGCAATCTGCTGTAGCTGCTTGAATTGGTGAAAGAGCAGCTTCATCCCTGTTGGGACAGCTAATAAAAACCAAACTGACCAAACAAAACATATGACCAAAACAAAAACACCACCCAAAACAAAACAAACAAAAAACCCACCAAAATTTCTGTTTTAAAACATCCTTGTTCCTGCTGTATTTTCCTTAATTTTCTGCTCGATGGTAGAAAACTAAGGTATTTTTCTGGCTTACCAGGTTGTCTAGTTAGAGAAGCTAATACCTGTGTGCAAGCACCTAGGTCTGGGTAATGAGCCACCTGGGGTGATTGGCTAACTTAATTTTAATTTGGTGTGGTTTCTTGCCTGAAACCTTTTCCTTTTCCTTTCAGGTGTGCCTATTGAAGATCTGCTTTCACATTGGTGGGATGACTATGAAATTCTGGAAGACAACCATTCTTACATACAGTGGTAAACTGTCTGCACAAACAGAGTGCCTCTCTTTAGTTGTGCCTCTTTTAAGTGTCAGGTGTACCTGTTTTCCTGCAAACAGCTTCACAGAAGGCCCAGAATTACTCTTGAGTGAATCCTTTGTCAAATTTAGCTTTATGGAGTTGTATTCTTCTGGAAGCAGTGCAGCTGGGACAATAGATCTCAGCTGTGCTTGGCCTTCAAGCACCTGCAGAACAAAGTTAGGGCCAGGGGAGAGATCCAGATAAGCAAAATGCTTTGCTGTTATTGATGTAGACAATGCTATTATGGGAGGGATTTATTTCTCATACAGTAAAACTGCTTCTATGCCCGTAAGGATGTGAGTTCTCCAAGAGGTGCCTGTGTGGTTGGATGTCACTTTTGCTCATCTGGGATGAGAATTTCTTTTGTTTCAGGCTGTTCCCTTTACGTGAACACGGGATGAACTGGCTTGCCAAGCCACTCACCTCTCAAGAAATCGAGGTATTTATTGAAAGCTTTTTGTCTCTTTTTTTTTTTGTGTTATTTTTTTTTACATCTGGAGGATGTTAGGATTTTCCCTGAATGCCTTGTATTTGAAGTTGAGTGGGATTTTTAGCTTTCTCAGATCCCTGGTGTGCACAGAGCTCACTGGGAAGCATTTGTTTGTCTCGTGTCTGCCAGTAGCTCCACCAGCAAATTAAATGCTTTTTAGTGACACAGTCAAACCTTGTTTATAATTCAGGTGCCACTTAAACTGGTGCAGGTAATTAGGGAGTTGCACCATTTGCTAATTGCTCTGTCTTGTTTTCAGGCCTTTAAGAGGTCCGAGGAAGTTATGGAAAGGTTTGTACGTGCTTATGAGCTCATGCTGAGATTTTATGGAATCGTTCTGGTCAACAAGAAAACTGGAGAACTTAAGAGAGCAAAGAACTGGGCTGACAGATTTGATAACTTGAACAGGTCAGTCTCAGTTTATGCCATTGATCTGATACTGCACCCAGGCATTTCTTTGAGGGGGGAAAAAAAAAAGTCCAAGTCAAGGAAATCCTTGGTCCTTGAAGAATGAAGACTTCTGTTGATAACAATATGTTGTCTAGTGAGAGTATTTTTAGCTTTTATTTTGGTAAACTACAAAATAGGAATATTTCCATCCCCGATTGTTTATAAAACTGCCTCATTGTGTGTGTAAAGTGCTTTGAGTCCTTGTTTGAAAAGTGCCCTGCAGGTGTGATGGTTTTTATATTATTGCAGGTCTTGTAGAGATAATGATGTTCCTTCTGATTCTCATACCCCTGATATTAAGAGGGGCTCTTAGAAGGACTGGGCACACTCACAAAAGAGAAAATAACTTGAAGATTGTCAAGTATTAAAATAGGCAAAATAGCTGTGTCCAGCTCAAGGCATGAGTTTTTGGCAGCAGCCCTGCATGCCTGTATTCCTAACACTACAGGCTTCCCCTGAAGGGTCTCTGTCAGGGACAGGGTGTTGGGCTGCATGGACTTGTGTGTCTCACTACTGGTGGGTGATTCAGAAAGCCAGATCCTTTCCAAGCAGCTGAGATGATGAATTCTAGCAGCCCAGGAAGGTCTGGGAAGGTACTGCTGAAGGCCCACAGCAGCCACTTTAAAATTAACCCCACCTGTGCTCCCATTTGCATCGTCAAATAGTCCTTAACAGGTCACAGTCAATGACAAAACATTTTGGAGATGCCCCAGAAGTTCACAGTGGCTCGTGAGACTTTCCCGTAACAGCTCTGCTTACCTGTTCTGTCCAGGTTCAGCCACAACAACCTGCGGATCACTCGCATCCTGAAGTGCCTGGGGGAGATGGGATACGAACGCTATCAAGTGCACTTGGTAAAGTTTTTCCTCACGGAAACTCTTGTTAAGGGGACACTGCCAAATGTCAAGAAAAGTGCCTTGGATTACTTCCTGTTCACCGTCAGAAGCAAACGGAGGAGGAGAGAACTGGTCCACTACGCTTGGCAACACTTTAAACCTCAGGAAGACTTCGTGTGGGGGCCAAAGGAGAAACTGCAGAAGTACAGACCCCGCCCTGCCAAGCCACAGCTCCACCAAAAGGCTGAAGGTAGACAGGAAACTCCTGGTAAAAAATGTGGTGATTCTGAGGGAAAGGATCAGAACCAGCCTCCAGAGACGGAACAGAAAGCTGGAGATGCTGCGAAGTTGCAGCCTGAAGCGAGTGATGAAGATGGAAAAGAGAAGGTAAGCAAATGTGCTTTGGAGGGAGGAGATGATGAAGAGGAGAAAGAAGCTTCATCTGCCCAGCTGGAGGAAAAGGATTTAAACAGTGAGGCTGAAGAAGTGCAGGGTACACCAGAGAGCGACTGCACAAAGGAGAGCAAGAAGAGAAAACTGGATGCAAATATGGCAGACGCTAAAAAGGTTGGACCACTGAAAAGCTCTACTGATATTGAAAACATTTCCCATAATCTGGGAGAATGTGCAATTAATGCAGAAATTCCCTCCTCAGGCCCGCCTTCACAAGCAGAAGAGGACCAGGAAGCACTGAAAGAAGATGATGCAAGCACCAAACACTCAGCAGCGCCAGAGACCATTGATGCAGCTGTGAAACGGAGGAAAGTTGATAAAAGAACATCGAAACCCTCAGCCTGTGGTGCCGAGGAAAACCCATCTGCTGCAAAGCCTGAGGCTGAAAAAGAAAATGTCAGTGAGAAAAATGCAACTGTGGAAGTGAGAAGTGAGAAGGGGGGTGGTGGTGATGCAGATGGTGAGGCTGTAAGACCCCTGGCTGGTTCCAGGCTCCCCAGGACTGGCTCTGCTTATCCAAGAATTGATGCCTGTGATTTGAGTGGAGATCAAGGCACAGTGGGGATTGATCAGCACCACTGCAACAGCACACTCCTGGGGGGTAAAAGTGAGGCAGATGGGGTAGAACAGCAGAAAAAGGCAGAAAATGCAGACGAGAAAGGGCAAACAGAACCCACAGACAAGAAACAAGCTCCAGAGAGTCTTGAGCAGAGCACAACACCCACTTGTCCTGAAGAAGATGGTGCTGAGGTTGCAACACAGAAAGCTGAGAGCTCTGAGCATGCAGCAGAGCCTGGTGGAGAGCAGGGAGCAGCAGAGCCTGGTGGAGAGCAGGGAGCAGCAGAGCCTGGTGGAGAGCAGGGAGCAGCAGAGTGAGAGCAGCACAGCAAGTCCTTGAGCAAGCAGAGATGACACTCCCCCAGCTGCAGGGAGCCAGCTTGGATAAGAAAAGTATAGGGAAAAATAAACTTCCTTTGGGATGATCCAGACTTGCCCCTGTCTCACTTTTACTCTGTCATGCTTTTTTAGTCATCTGTAGTAATATCACCGAGATCCAGCTCTTGGTTACCCTAAAGAGGAAAACTTCAATTTAGTCATCTTTGTGGACAGACCCTGTCCTGTTTCTGGTTTTTATCTGATGTTCAGGGCTATCTTGGAGCAACGGGGATTTTTGCACTTTGTTTTTATTCTGGTATATCCCTTCTGAAAGAGAAAAGGAAAAAATATTTCTTTCCTTGTTTGAAATAGTTAAATATTTATTAAATACATGATTTTTAATGTAAGCATGACCTAGTATACCAGGCCTTTCTCTTACTGTGTAACTTCTGTTATTTTGAAAGGCTGTACTTTCCCAGGAGTTTTTTCCTGGGAAAAGTGCTGTTTCCCTAAAATAGATGAGTATATGGATTTCACAGATGTCAGAGTGTCGCTGCCTCTATAAAGAAAGTAGGTTTGACTTTAGCCTGGGATAAAATGCATAATCAAACATAGTTTTGATCAGTATGAGCCTTTGTGTAGATACTGTTCTGAAGTGCAAAGTGCTGAGTAATTTGCTCTCTTCATCCCCACAGAGGTTGATTTGTAGTTCCTGTTAGAGTTGTTAATAATACGAGTTGTCCACTCATTTCTAAGAGAAAAACCTTCAGATTTTGCATAAAACTCTAGAGCTGCTCCTCCCGAGGTTTTCTCACCACGTTTAGACCTGTTACTGTCTTCCACAGATACTCGTGTCCACGACTGGTTCAAAGGCCTTCCTTTCTCACTTGCCAAAAGAGCACAAATTTTTCCCACTGCATTTTTTTTCAGCCTTTGCTGGGACTTTGCCATGGCCTGTGGGGCTCTTTTCTGCAGCCCCGTTGTGTGAGGTCGGACGTGTCAGATCCAACCCATTTCCTAGTTAGGGCAGGACTGGTTTGCCATTAATGGTCAGTGTGTCAAACAGTGAGGGCATGTCCGAGTGCAGCATGTCTGGAAACCACTGGGCTTTGTGGGGCAGTTAATTGAAGCTTTAATTGGAGGGGGTACGCTTGTCTGGTTCGTTTATTTGCAGCCCTCAAGAATTCACTTTCAGACCTTGCCAGCCATTTGCCTGCATTCGTGTTCCTGACCTCCCTGTCAGCTGTTCTGCCTGGCTTACACCATATTCCACCGAGTCTGAAAGAGCATTAAACAGCTTAGCTCAGAAAAATTGACAACAGTGACCCGTTTCACGAAGCAGAGGAAACGGTTCCCAACAGCCAGAAGGTCTCGACTCGCTGTTTGCTCAGATTGTTTGGTTTGGTTTTGGGGTTCTTTGGTGCTGTTTGGTTGATGCAGCAGCCTGTGCAATGTTAATGCTTCTCCTCTCTCTGCTACAGTTCTTAAGAAGCTTTATCTTTCAAGGAGTTTGATGGGTGACTTGCCTTCCCAGACTGTAGGTCCTGAGCCAGCATGCCACATATGTGTGTGTGGGTATAAAAGTCTGCAAGCTCAACATCTTAAGTTGGTGGTCACACACGTGCTGGAAAAAGGCTTTAATGTTTTTAAATTACTTTTTTTTTCTTCTTCTTATGAACAAATGGAGTTAAATAGCCAGTAAGAATACACTTAACTGCAGATACAAATACTTGAAGATGCTGAGTGAAAATTCTTTCCTAAGAGATTCCTAAGAATTGTTAATTGTGGCTTTTGTACAGATTTATAGTAATTTTCTTATTTAATGAAATTTTCCTTATGAATATGTGCTCACTTGGGGCATAGATCGTATATCTTGTTACGGTGAGTTGGTTTTGTGTTAATTGAGATTTATTTCACTGTGAGCCCCAGCCTGGAGTGAGTGCTCAAACCAAACCCTTTCCTGTCATACCCAGTTTAAAGTTTTGGCTGTGTGTGTGGTGAGTTCACAAGATGTTTCCCAGCACTCAGAGTTGTATCACAGAGTCTGTTATGTTAATTCCCTTATTAAAGCATGACTTTATTGCATACCAGTTTCCACTTACATTTTTTTTTTCATCTTTGAGGGCAGGATGTGACTGTATTTACCCCCCACCACCCACCCTTCCTGTGTCTTGGTCCCCTCCAATAAGTGGGTGCAGGGGGCTGCCCAGCATTCCCAGGCAGAGCTCTGCTGGGCTCCCCATGAGACACATCTGCTGCTTGCTCCATGTGGAGGTGATGCCCAGTCTCCATCCAGCTCTAAAACATGCCCAGTGAATGTCTGTGGGGTAAAGATACCCCCAAACCCTCTGCAATGGTTCTTGTTTAATGGCATGCTTGGAAATCATAGAATCATGGAATGCTTTGGATTGGAAGAGGCCTTAAAAGCTCATCCCAGTCCAGCCCCCTGCTGTGAGCAGGGACACCTTCCACTAGACCAGGCTTCTCAGAACCATCCAGCCTGGCCTTGGATACTCCCAGGGATGAGGTGTCCCCATGTTTCAGTGTGTTTTGGTAGGTCCTGACTTGCCCTTGTGCTGCCCCCCTCCCACGGGGGTCACGACGCTCCATGGGGCAAACAAGGGCTTCACTTCAATCATCCCTGGGGCTCCAGGCAGGGGGGGCTTCAGTCCAGTGGGCCTTTTCAGGACACAAGTACAGGGGTGTCTGTGTGGTAGTGATTCCTGTGGGTCGCTGCGTCCCTTCAGCTGTGCTGCCTCTGCCTGGGGTGTGGAATGAGAGGATAACTGGGTGTTCTCTTGCTCCACGGGGTGGGCTTGAAGGAGAATACTCTTCCCAGTCTGGTCAGCAGACTCCATGTGCAGCAGCTCTCCAAGCCCAGGCTTGCTCTGAGCAAGGTGTGGCCGAGGAATTTGGATCTCCTTTGCCTTCTCTGCTGCCATCAGTAGAGGAGGAGGCACAAGCTGTGCAAAGCAGATCGTGGGACTGCACTGCTCTCCCTCTTTGGGGGTTGTGGTGTCCAGTGAAGCATTTCAGTTACTCTGAAGCCATCATCAGAAGACATACAGACACACACAGTCCCTTTCTGTCCCCAGCTGCCTGTTCCATGAAATCTTTTGGAACTTCGTACATGTTTGAGTGCTTTATCCCCCTGTCGAGGTTAGTGGAATATTGATTGCTGGGGAGCTGGACAGACACACACTGTGTGCTCATCCAGACCTCCTGGCAAGGGATGCCAACCTGAAACCTGGTATTTCATTTCTTAAACTTTGCTTTTCCACTTCTGCTCTTGTCTTCTTAACCAAGTGAGCTATGTCGTTTCAGTTCTGATGAATCTTGCCACTGTTCTTCTCCACTTCCAAGCCCTGCTTTGGATGGAATTGCCTTTAATGGATGAAGGGAAGCATGAGGCTATTTACAGAAGATATATCTTCATGAATATATTGGCATTTGGGATCACCTATCTGGGAATGGTCCTCCTGTTCCTTCCTTCCAATATGTCAAATATTTTTTGTGGCTTTGAGAATGTTTCTCTTTTTTCCTTCCTCCTTGTATGTGTCTGTGACCACCTGTTTTCTGATCAGGATTCATCACTTTCCCAAGAAATCATTTGTTGTTCTTTGGATCAATCTAAAAAAAAACAAGATGTGAAATAACCTCCAGAGCTAACAAAGCACCTCGTAAAGCAGTAAGAGCATTTCTCTGTGGTGTTCTTGCACTCGTTGTAGGTATATTAATGTCTCTACTGAAGTTAGGTGGCCTCAGGCACTGAATAACTCACTCTGTGCTGCTTTTTACCTGTCCGGCCCAGAGATGGTGATGGGCTTTGAGAAATGCCCTGGGTGAGACCAAAGGAACAGCTTTATGTTTCCAGCTGGAGCAGCTCAAATTTGCTCCTGTGTCATGTCTCCCAGTCCAGCTCTTCTGTAGGCTCCTCTCCCCTTGCTGGAGCCTGGCAGGGCATGACTGAGAGCTGCTCTGGCTGCCTGCTGCTCCCCCTCCTTCTCCCACCTCCTCCTGAAACCTCCTCTCCTCCAGGCTCAGCCCCTCTTGCCTTGTTCCCGAGCTCTGCCCCTCCAGCTGGAGCCACAGGTTTATCTGGAGGCAAGGAGTCTGCTCTGTAAGCTGAGACCCAGGAGGAGGAGGGATCTGCTGGACCCTGGAGGAGAAAGGGTTTAGCTGCCCAGGAGGAACGGAGAGAGGCAGAGCCTGGGCACCATGGCTGGATTCTCCACTCTTGGGCTCCTCGCCCTGTGTCAGTTTTTAGCCACAGCATCAGCTCAGGTGAGAAACCTCATTTGTGTCTCTTGTGCTCGAAAAAAAACCTGCAAGGGTAAAATCTGTGTATGTCGTACCTGTGGGGTGAAATGTGGCAATAGGCAGGTTATTAGTCTAAAGTTTGTTTATTAAAAGTGTGCATCTGGGTTTGTACCTGTGTGGGTCAGTGTAAACACCACTGCTTTATGTTTCCATGAAAGTGTTGAATTCCCATTCGGGACTGCAGTTATGAGAGAGAAAGCCTTGGGAGAGGGGGAGACCTGTAAGAGAAACAGTTTTTTTCTTTTACACTGAAGTAGCTGGTAGTCAGTGTGACTGATCTGATCTGGGTCTTTATTTGAATCAGAATTTCTTGTTCATTCCCTCAATCAATTTTACAAATTTTACACTTATAAACCAGCATATTTAACCCCGTTCACTTCGGGCATGGAGCTGTATTAAACTTCCCTGTCTGGTGTTACTATTATTGTCTGGGGAAGTGACTCCTCAGTGAGGTTTTTCATTGTTAGTGAGGAATTTTTGCAGCCTGGCTTGGGAATTCAGAGCTGCCCTCATCTGCTGCGAGCAGAGCTACTTCTACAATGAAACCTTTGTTCCCTGAAGCTACAACAAATTACTCTCTGGAGCCCTCTCCATACAGAAGTCAGTTATTGGACCTTTTTTTCCTTTCCCCCACCTCAGACCTTTCCAAAATCCCTGATTTTCAAACGGCATCCTGCTCAGAGAGGAGACTTTCCCTTTCTCCTCCGGTCTTTGTTGATGTCTGCCTGGTTTTTCCATCACCCCATTAACCTGGGACCATAAATTAATTATTACTGCCAGGCACTCGGCATCTATGTTCTGTGGACTTTGCATTTCCTCCTGTGCCCAAATCAGAACGTGCCTGTGGGCAGTGAGAGCTGTTTCCTATACAACCAAACCCATTGGACAGCTTTGATTCCCAGTGTAAGCCACCAGTTAAACGAGCTGGGGAGCCCTGAGGGTGTGCCCAGTCAAAAGGGGTTTTCCAAAAAGCCTTGCACCGATCCAGAGCAACTCTGAGCCCACCCAGGCTGGCAGGGGGCCCTGAGGGAGGGAAGGTCAGAGCAGATTTAGGGTTAAGCTGTAGGACTCGGGCCATCACTTTCTGATCCAGGCTATGTGCTTCTTCTGATGCAAAAATAAACTCTTGTCTCTCGTTTTCCCCCAGTCCCTTCAGAGAGTAGGACCACAAGGCCCTCCTGGACCACGAGGACCCCCTGGACCGTCTGGCAAGGATGGCATTGATGTGAGTGACACACAGCAGGGGCAGGCTCAGGGTGAGGGGTGGGGCAGAGGCAGAGCCAACGGAGCAGAGAAGCTGCTCTTGTTCTTCTTTGGACATCCTTCAGGGGTGGGCAGACCTGGAGAACCAGCCTCCTCCTGAGAGACCTCGTTTTGCAAGAGCCAGAACAGGGAGTTGAGGTGCTGAGTGGCCTCAGGTTCTTTTTGGGATAAATCCCCTTCTCAAGGGAGAGCTCAGGGGTTCATGACCCTGCTTGCAAAGTAGAATGTTTCTCTTTTGGTGGCTGGTGTCTGTGTAGGGTTAAATGCAGGGGTGCAGTGTGTGCTGGGGTTACTGCACTTTCAGTAGTTCAGAGAGAGGTTTATGTGATGCTTCAGAGCATCCACATTTCTGGAGAGGCTACAAGGAAGTCAAATATGCAGCACTGGACACTGCTCTTTTATTTTACGTCAACATTTTCAGCATGATTATCCCTAATTTTGGTACAAGAGATGTCAGGATTTGGCTCGTGTGTTGCCAGACATGAGTTTATAGTGGCTCAAAAGGCAACTGAAATGGACAACCTTTATTTCAGCAGGCAGCTCCTTACAGTACCTCCTGTGGAGGTAGAAGACCACGTACCCCAGGACTTGATAGAGCAGAAAAGCTTGTTCTGTTACTTTCATTGGTGTTTCCATAGAAATGAAAAATAGTGTTTCCACGTATCTGTTGGATAAGGACTGAATTGTGCCCTGTAGTTGGCAGTGGATAAAATGAGCATCAGATGGACCTGCAACGAGACCACATCAAATGCAAAAGTCTGAGTTTTCTGCTTCGATTTCCAGTTTGAGTAGTGCTTGTCTGAGCTGCTTATGGATTAGTTCAGGGTTTTTTAAAACTGGTCTGAAGTACATTTATGGAAATTGGGCCTTTAAGCAACCTTGGAAAAAATCTATTCATTCCGTGCAGGTCATTTTCTTTTGGATAAGGAGGTTAAAAAAAAAAACCTGTATGAGTTCCCTGGAATCTGGTGAACAAGGAGTGTTTGTGCCTGCAGTGGTGAGCATTTCCAGCGGCTCCATGAGCCAGGCTGGTCTGAAGAGAGAACACTGATTTCCAGCCGGTCTCTCCAGGTGTCCTTTCGGCTGACAGAGGCTGTTTTACCGGGAATCTCGCTCTGGGTTCATAGCATGAGAAGTTCAGAGCTGGTACCTTGAGAGCTTCCAGTGTTTTTCATGAGGTGACAAAAGGCTTGAGGGGACGCCCTGGAGGAGGGCGAAGGACTCGTGTTCCTGTTCGCAGCAGTTGAGCCTGGGGAGTCCCTGCAGCTGGGCCAGTGGGCTCTGGGAAAGGCTGGCTGTGATTCTGTACAGAGGGAAAAACAAGAGTTTGGGAAGGATGAAGCCCTCCAGACTTCAAGTTTCAACTTCTGCAGAGAGGCAATTGGAAAGAAACCTGATGTTTTTCAGTTCCTGCTTTCTATGGAACGTTCTGCTCTTCAGCTCTGGAACAGAAACAGCATCACTTCTGATAGCTCTTGGAAACAGGAGCCCTGGGAAATGCT